GGGGGGGGTCGTACGGACTCGACCAAATCCTCCAACTGATGATGTGCCCCGGTTCATATTTCACTGTGAGAATTCAGCTGCGCAACTGTGACCGTCCATGCCTCACCGGTACTTGTTGAGTCGCGAGAACGGCCGTAGGAAATTAGTATCTGGGGAGCGGCGCGGTCACATTGCTATTGACGTGTCATGATAGATAACTCCACACACTTTCCACTTCGGATAACTCGTCCTGACCATCAGACTGCCAAATTTTCGCGATTGATGGCCAGCTCTAAGTCGTTGATGTTGGCTTCGGGGCTCCCGCCTCTTAACTGAGCCTCTCCCAATCGTCAACTGGGTCCTTTCCTGAGAACGTGTTGCGGGTCATGATACGTCAATGTTAATGTGATCGCATTATGATCTTTTACCCATTACTCTATTCCGCTGAATTTGTTTGAATTAGCAGTCAAAAAAGCAGTACGACGATTATGGCTGGAGCGCAGTCGGTCGCGATTGTGCAGTTCCCAGATCGCGCGACTGAGTGTTCTATCGTGAAGTGTAAACGCAGTCCGATTTTCCTCTAATATGTTGCTTGCAATTGTACTGTTTTCACCTGCTGCGACCATAAACTTTGTTTTGTCGACATTTGCTCCAGTAAGTAAATTGACAATTGTCCACATGCATTCCTAGAAGTGTAGAACTCTTCATTATAGGTCACTACGCTATGAAGCACTGCCATGGCAGACCAAAAGAAAACAGAGCTTGCTTTTTTAAGCTTTTTCTCTGATGAAGAGCAACCTTCGAGTAACATCGCAAACACGTTCCAGTCCAAGAACAGCAACTGGAATTGAAAACCTTTCTCCTATGTTATTAGCATGGTGACATAAATTTGAACATTACTTGCAAACAATAAATTTCGGAAGTTTTTACAGGTAATAGGCAAAGCGCCTTGCCTCATTTGGAGGCACGGCTGATCCATGGATTATCTAATGATATTATCTATCTATTATCTAAATAGAATCCATTCCCTGTACAAGGGGACCCGGCCCGCAGTAGCATAAGATGTATCACTTTCGTTGCTCGAAAATGAAATGGCAAGAGCGCTGAGTCTGTCAGTCGTCCGGGTCCACCCATTGGTGGTCCCACCCAGAGATGAACATTTTTGGCCGATGGGTTGCTCTTTGTGGTGTTTCTAAACGCCCTTTTTAATCGTATTGTTACTAGTCCCTTCACTTCTACATTTTCGCACAATGTTGAAAACCAGGGGAGGGGTGGGTGCTTACTTGGGGCGTTTTTAACGGATTTGTCTGTTTTCCCATCTACTGGTGAGCCAACTAGTAGTACGACATATTTGGGTAAACTACCGAAGGATCACCTTATAACGTTGGGTCCTTAATAGCAACCTTGGCTAGTCAAACTTACATCCGCATGATCGGGCCTGCTTGCAGCAATGTTTGAGCACATCCACGCAGCCTCACGGCGCACATCGCAACGTGATTTGTGCGAAAGGGAACGAACCTGATGTAGATTATGTTTTCGTGAAGGAGAGAAAAGGTTAAGGCAGTGGGCCTGATGGCTGGAGGCGGGCGGTTGCTGCTAGCATCGTTGGTGGAAGAACTGCAATAGGCTTTCGCACACCCCACTCAGCCCTTCCACCAATGACGTTGGCAACAACCGCCCACCCCCAGCCGCTTGCCCACTGTCTCTAATAGCACCAAAGTGGATCAAGTAAAGTTTTCGAAGACTACCAGAATATCATAAAAACGTGGATGTGATATAATGGCAGCCGTCTGGATATCGTTTCCTGTGATAATATTGCCGAGAATTCGTAGTGCACCATGATGAAGTTCACCTATCGGCTATAAGGATCACAATCACTTCAAATGTTACTTTACTGTATCATACAAATTCGTAGGGTACAGCAGTGCTGCATTTATACAACACTGTTACGAGAGGAACTGTAAACCAGGAACTTACCGAATCCAGAATCTCGAATGCCAAATCCACCAAACCCGGTTCGTTAAGGACTACCTCGATCTGAATTCAAAAGATTACCTCATTTCTTTGTATGATTAAACTCAAGCGGCGTAAAGATTAAGAGCTCCAGAGACTAGCGCGGAGAGCGCTCATCGAATGTTCCATAAGTTTGAAGAGCTTCCGAGAGCCATCAACATTTCCTTTTCTCTAGAATAGGCGTCAACAAGCCTTGAATAGAGTGGGTATCTCTGGATAGGTATCTCTTAATAAGAGCTGGGGTCTCCCATCCGAGGGGTTTTTCGCTTGCTTCTGATCGAGAAATTTCAACGATCACGGCAGATTAGCCCTGCCCATAGTTCAAACTCTCCCATCGCGGAGTGCGTCTTATGTGCAGCTCTCATCTGTTCTAGCTCGTCCGTCTTTCACGGATTAAGAAGCACGCGAACGGGGACCGACATACATTCAGGACGAGTAGGAAGGATTAAACCTAGCTACATTCCTGATGTCAGGACGAGTAGGAAGGATTAAACCTAGCTACATTCCTGATGTGAAAGGCGTGGTTGCGTACCTCATTTGAACATACCGGAGGATGAGCTATCTATGAGTTTATTTTTCAGTTTCAGACAATTATCATGTTGCCTTGTTTTGGAAAAAATACATGTGCCTTGTTTTTGAAAAAATACATGACACAGACTGAGCGACCAGTAGCCTGCTACCCTCCTCCCTCTCCATACCCTACCAGCTGTCTGCTACCCTCCTATCGCGCCACATGGGTGACGGATAATTGGTACGGTCACACGGCTTGCACCAGGCTGCGGACAGCTTTAATGAGGTGCGAAAACTTGGTGTCTAGCTGCGAAGTGACCTCATCAACGAGGTATGGCTCAGAGGTAATTTCATCATCCACATATCTTCACATTAGAATCAGAAAGATCAATAAATCGAAGAAATCAACGAGTATAGTGCAAGTTCTCAAAAAAATGTAGTGGAAGAAAATATCTGTGTTGTACATTTGGCCTGCACTAGTTACAAGTAGTAATCGGGAAATGTTCGCGACCTTCAACATTCAGAACTTCCGCACCCAAATGCTACGAAATGGCGTCTGGAAAGTCTGGAAGCGAATTCTACTCTGGATAGGTTCAGCACATCAAAACAGATACACTATCAATAAAGTCTTCGTACCCCTCTGCCCCGCTCACATCTTCGTACTACGTTGATCAGTATTCACCCTATTAGACCCCCCTGCACCAACTCCTTCACAGAATTAGACTCTGCCTCACGGTTTGCCCTCTGTACCAACATCGTATTTCATCAGGAATGCCCCCTCCCTCCTTCAACTCCCCCCTCGGAAGTAGAATCCTACTGCAGGAAAATGTCAAGCTACGTGACTGGCAAACCTACACAACAACATTTGGGTTTTTATTTTTGCTTTCTTATGGTCTATTGCTGTTGACTTGTTTCTGAGTTTATTGATCTTCTTGTTTGTCGTGAAGATATCAGGGTGACAAGATAACTCTCAGTCCTCTCTCGTTAATGAGGTCACTTCGCAGTTACGCACCAAGTTTTCACACCTCATCAAATTGTCTTGCTGCCAAGTGCCAGCCACCTCTTAATTAGGTGCGATCGTACCAATGATGGCTAACCCGCGCCACATTCTCTTCTCCCGGACGATGGTAGACGGTGCACGCTGGCAGACCTATTCACTGACGCTGCCGGACGATCGAAACGCTGGTGGACTCTATTGATCGCTGGTGGACGCTGCCGCAAAGTACGGACGCGGCGTATGGTTACCTACGAGGTGAGCCCCTGAGTTGGAAAGGTTCACAGATGTTGAGGTGGAACAGTTTCGCCATTCAGAGGCGTGAGAATGAAGTTGGATTATTGTGACACCTGGTTGGTCTTTATTTTTTCATTTTTTCTCTCACGTTTGGAGCGCCACTTTTTTTCCTGTTTGACTTTGGCGGTTAGCACTTCGGTGGGGAGCTTGTTCCCTCAGCAAGAAGGGGCGTGCGCATCGCGAATCAAATGACAGGCGAAAACCTAAAGAATATCTCACTATCACAACCTTTCAGCTTCATTTCCACACAATTCCAACACCTACGGAACAACCTAGCTGGTAACTGTACATTTTTGCAACAATTGCTTTGGCATTCAGTGAGAGCAATAGATCTGACCGTACCTGAGTCCCTTGATGCATATCGTCAGCTATAGATGCCAATGTCCACAGGCAGTCTTTGGCGAGATCCGTCCAAACGGTGTACCTTCGTGTAAGATCGGCTAATGACGTCACTAGCATTTGTATCGTCTGCAATTGAGCAGTGAAGCTTCACGTATATAAGGTTTCGTTGTTCCTACGGAAAAGTCTTACTGGGAGCGGTACGGTACCATTGCGAACGCCTCCACGCATCACGTTCATGGCACACCACACAATATTCTTCAAGTCACTCAGCTCGGTGTGTGTTCCCTGAGCGAGTATTCGGGCTATCACCTAAAATGAAACGAGGTACTGTCGAGCCAGGTGAATTCAAGCTTCACTAGATATTCGAGCTCAAACTAGATCTTTACGATGTAGCTGTTTTTAGTTTTGTTCGGTGAGTGTTAACGATCACACATAGTTTGGGTGTGCGTGACTATCAGCCCCCTAGCTGTCGAAGCGTAGCGGTTTCCCCGTCCGAACATGCGCAGGAATGGAGATCCAGGACTGTGGGACACGCTAATTCCTCCATGCTCCGCCTAAAATGCAACTTGCGGCGCAGACTCCCGATCCCGTTTATACTAACAGCCGTCCGCGCGGCGCGTGTCGCGAGCAGTCGAATTGAAATACAATCAAAACGCAAACTCCTGA